CACAATCTGTCTGTGTTTCTGCTGTTTCAGGGATACCAACATAAATGTCACATAACAGGACACTTACTTGACTAGCGAGTCACAGTGGACCAAATTGTTCCCCAGCATCATTCCACTGCAGTCAGTGGAGTTTTGTTGGGGATGGATTAGGTAATAAAACAGAACCACCCAGCTTGACCGAGCAACATAAGAGTGCCCACTTTGCATGGATGTTAGTTTTAAAACAATTTTAATAGTGCTCCGTTATCTTTCAAAAGTGCATGGGCCAGTTCTTGTCACTTAGTGCTTAGGTAACTTGTAAGAAGAAACTCCCAGGGAAACTTGCTATTCCTTGTAGCTTGTAATCAAATTCTGCAGCACAGCCAATGCCTCTAATGTACATTGCTAGTCAAAGGCCATAACGTGTCCCAGTAAAAATTAGTTTTGTCTTGTACACTCTGATAGGTTAACCACACTCACTCCTGCTTGTGCTGCATGCCGTAATGAGGTAATAAAGAGAGAAGCCTGCAAAAAGCAGTGGATTACAAAGAGCAGGGTTGCAGGTTTCCTTGTGTAGCTTCTGTGGCCTGTTTACAATTACCTCTCCTGCTTTTCTAGAGTGTCTGAGTTTACACAAAATGTGGAGAAGGTACCTCACCTGCAGGGAGGCTAAAGGGAGAGTGGTGGGGTCAAACAATGCGCCTCACAGCCCTATAAAGATAACTGAGAAATCGTTGCAGAATTATTCTCAGGTTTCTAATATGCTCTAGTTATCAATGCTAATATGAGAGGTGTAACTTGTTAATTTTCTGCTTTTGAAGAATTTACACTTTAAATTATCTTAATCTAGAATCTCAGTAGTTTGATCAAATTTAAGCGTTTTGCTGGTGCCATCACGTGGCCAAATGTTGGATTGCAGAACTCTAGCAGCATCCATATTCACTCAGACTACTACTATCTCTTGAACAGCAGCAGTGAGGAAAATAATCCCTGCCAAGTCTCCTCCAAAAATACATCTGTGTATATATACACACCAGAAAAATGGACTGAAATACACGTGGTGTCATGGTTACTTCAGTTACTTCAGTTTAATCTGGTTTCTAACTAGTAGAAAGGCTAATACTTTTGAGTATTACAAGTTGATAAATATAGACAACCTCTAAAGCAAACTCAGAGACCCTTGTTGAAGAGATACTAAACTGAAGGGGCACAATGCCATATTCTGAATTTCCTTCCCAATTGTGTTTGTTCTGCTTTGTTACTAGCTAATCCCTTTTTACATAACTTGGCCCTTCAGATTTCATATCAGATCTGCACTTCATATCATATGTGCATAATATCACCAGAGTGGAATGAATATTCAATCTGCTGTTATAGTCACTAAATTCACAATCTGGTTAATGCACAATTTAAACTTAGAGTTCATTATTCATATGCAGATCACTCAAACTAAGTGACATCATAGTATTGCTCAGTGAAAAGGCCTCTGTGCAAAGAGAAAGCATAAATGTATAAAGCTTATGCTCTATTTGCTTATGAAAATCCAAATAAATTGTTATGGTTTTGTCTTGATTTCTCAGATAACCCTTAATATCAAAACTCATACATGCTGCCAGTGTGGAAATCTGTCCTGGGTTTCAAAATCTAAGTAAGTCATGCAGGGCTGGATTTTGAGAGGTGCTGAGCACTTGTGCCTGAATCCAAAGTTCCTGAGAACCCCTTTGAAAGCCTGGCCCTTACAGCCCCTCACAATGCACACCTAACAGTAGGAGCTGTGGGAATGCCTTGAATGGGTGCAGGTTCCAACTTTTGACCCTATAAGGAGTTAAGTTATTCCTATATTATGGGGATCACTTTCAGCTCCTTCTGATGCCAAAGGGTTCCCAGAATACAGCCAAACTGCATGGTGCTTTTCACTGAAAAGAATCTGAAGGGAAGACAACACCATACCTATCTTTGAGTTTAAACAATGGAAAACAAAGCAGTTTTTCATATGGGACATCAGGTAAAAAAAAACCCAAAAACACAATAGAAGAGAGGGCAAATGGAAGTGCCAAAATGAAGGAAATGCAGTTGGAAAAATCAGCCATAATCAGTAATATTTTCCTGTTATTAGAAATAGCCTTATAGTTCTGACTTGGCCTTGCTAAAGCTGAGCTTCACCCAAACTGTCTAATAAACTAACTGTTGCTAAAAGGAATGAGTGGCCTTAATTGCATGGCCAAAGAAGATATGTTGGCTGCAAGAAAGGGAGAGAAATGATGCTGAATCAGAAAGGATTTATTTGACCTTTATGGCTGGCTCAGTGGGCTCCCAAGGCTTGAGGGTTATAGCACAGTCCAACTGAATGTGCTCATAATACTCTGGGTCTAACCACAAGTTCAGAATGGTTATTGTCTTCTCTTTTCTTTTAAGCACTTTCCCACATTAACGCTGTCCAGTGTAATTCATGCTTCTGTGCCACAGGTGCTGTCAGTTGAGCAACGCAGGCATCTATGGTCAGACTTAGCCTTCCAGCTCTCATGCAAGGCTGTGTGTTCAGAAGTGCTGAGCACCTCCACCTTAAACTAAAGTCACTGAGACTCCCCTCCTGCCCTCTCAGCCCCATCACACCACAGTAGTACCTGACTTCCATCCCAGAGGCCAGGTCCTGTGCACCCTTCTGACAGGACAGCTGGTGCTGAGGGTGCTCCCTTATGACAGACTGGGCCACAGGAGGGTGCTACTATGGAGCAGCAACGCTCACTTTAGAGCCAAATTCAGGGATTTAAGGGGTCTGAATGCTGATTTGGAATGATCAATGCACATGTAGGATTGCCATAACACAAATTCTCTTTCCAGCATTAAAATGGAAACCTACTAAGCTGGAAATGCTTAGCTTTTGCCTAGTTCAACTACTGTGCTTGTGAAGAAGCACTTTTTATTATTTCTGTGTTTGATGCTTGTGGGTGGCATAGCTCAATAAGTAATACATTGCATTTGAAGTCTTTTGGAGCAGTGCCTCTGCAAAGTGGCAGTATTTGTATCTGTAGAAGGATGTCTTTATGTTCCTTGTACTTACTTTGAATCAAGGTGGATGACTTTTGCATTGGAAACTGCCTCTCCCACTCAGAAGAGCATGTGTAGTTGTAGTAGTTTGGCTGTAACTTGGAGAAGGGCCTGACTGTGGGTGGGTTAGAACTGGTGATCTCCAGAGATCCCTTCCAACCTGAGCCTGGCTGTGACTCCACTGCTTGGAAAAAGAAGATCTCATGAGCTGTTCTCCCTGTGCTCTCCCTGTACCCTGGAATCTGCTGGGTAGCACTGGGCATCACTTCATTTAATTTTCTTCTACAAGCAAGCTTTGCCAGCCCCTTGTTTCTCATGTAACAAAAATTCTGTTGGATTCTGTGGCTTTATACATAGGAAATTTGCCAGCATGTGTAAAAGCCACAAATAAGTTATGTAGAGGTGCACTGGAAAATATATTCTTCACATTTTTCTCATAAAATTTCATAGATATCTTACAAAATGATTTAAAAAATGAAGCACTAGCAAACACACCCCTCTTACCACTAGTTTTAGAACCACAGAGTCTATGACTCTGGTGCTTGCCCTGTGTACTATACTTTCATAGCCCAAAGTCCTGCACATACATAGAAAATACCAATAGCAGCATAACCTAATAATGTCTTATTTACTAGAAAGTTATATTTAAATAAACCCTAACAGTGGCACTTTATTTAAGTATTTTTATATGGTTCTTATGAAAAAGCAATATTTGCTCCATAAAAATAAAATAATTCTCACTGTGGATATTTACTGAAGTTTTATTTACAAGCTGTATTAAAAACATATTTATTTAAGCTTCTCATACTTCCCCTGCTGAAATTTGTGCCAGTTCTATCAGAGGCACAGCCATGAAGATACTTCATTTGTATCTTGCCCACTTCAGCTTTCTTCTCTGTAATTGTTTGCACTAGAGTAAGTTTCTAATTAATTTCTAGCCTGTATCTCTGGTAGGTTTCATTGAGATCAGTGAAGGTGGTGCCGTTGAGGATACTGTAGCTCTGCTACTTACTTGGAAGCTAGTCTGTGTAATACAGAAACTTAGTGTGGAGGAAAGGCTACTCTATTTTGCCCCTACAATAGCACTATCAGTATTGTGGGTACCTGGCTATGCTCTGAACAACTCTTCTGCAGTATCACTTTACTGTGAGAGTTGCCCAAGACAAACAACAAATGAACATGGTTTGATAAAGTAGCTTGCAAACCTCTTCTCCCTTTCTGACTGCTAAATTGGTTTTCTGAGATGGGGCATCTAGTCACTGTGACTCATCTACCATCTCATTTGGTACTATGCTGGAGTTGGCCAAAACCTTTGCTTGCTCTCAATGTGAGGGTAGGAATGCAAAGACAGCAACACAGAATATATGCCACCTAGGCATTTTCCACCTTGTGGAAGAAGGAAGGCTTGTTTCTGGACCTCTTTTTCTCTTCAGAGTGGGATTAATTTGGATGGGTCAGGGGCTTTACACTAGTGTGCCTGAACAACAAATAATCCAAGGGATTGCATATTCAGAAAAGAAAAACACAAGAGCAATGAAAATTCTTGTTTCAAGCTCATTATACATTCTTGCACAGATACAGTCACTGTGGGATCACAGCACCTTGCCGTGCTCCTGGGATGGAAGTCCCATCAGTATCATTTAACAAGAGCAAGTGCTGGATTCTGCACCTGGGATGGGGTAATCCTGGTTATATGTACAAATTAGGGGACAAGAGGCTGGAGAGGAGCCCTGTGGAAAGAGATCTGGGGTTTGCGTTGATGGCAAGTTGAATATGAGTCAACAGTGTGCCCTGGCAGCCAAAAGGGGCAACTGTGTCCTGGAGTGCATCAAGCACAGCATAGCTAGCCGGTCGAGGGAGATATTTGCATATCTCAGTCTACATTGTTCTCTAACCTGTTAGCTGCCTGTTGCTATTCTTGTTTAAAACACTTCACTTAAACATTTGGACTGTGAGAAGTATGTCTAGCCTACCTTGGCCGCCAAGGGTCTACACCACTACCATAAGTTTGATGTCCTTTAACAAATGTACATGGATACTTACCCTTTGCCCTGTTGTCTTCTGGCAGTACAGGTAGTGCAATTCCTCCATGCTTCCTTTCTGCTCCCCAGGGAAGCTTGCAGCAATGAAGGGATTCCGTGAACTCTTTATATCTGAAAGAAAAAACCCACAAAACATAATGTCCTTTAATGGCAGCAACAGTGATGGTTACTTGAAATCTTTTAAACAATGACAACTTGGCTTTATTTTCTTGGCTCTGAGTTACTCAGCCTTATTCTAGGTAATGCTAGAATATTATGGTGAACTGTCACTAGAAGTAAGTACAAAGGTGATCGCCAATTGTTTAATGAAGGTTGAATCAAGTTGTCTGTTTTGATCAGTGAGATGAAGAAGGTGATAGATACATGCAGCATGTACATCTTACAGTGTAATTGAGTCTTAGCTGCCAGCACATAGATACCTGCACTGTCCCTTCAGTACTACGTAAGTGGCATATGGACAGCAAATATATGCAATGGCACAGATGGAAGCTTTAGCATGTAATTCCTACTGATTTGAGAATTTGTTATTTGTGCCTTTGAAAACCTCCCTTCTCCATCTCTAGAGATGGGTGAGAAATGTTACTGTTTACTGTTTAGGAGACTGAATGCAAGCTTTATCAGGCATTTCACGTGGATGTGCTAGTGTCTGAGGATATCCAGTACATTTCCATACATCCATGTCGTTTGAAATCAAGCAGTCCAATGTGTTTAGATGCATGTTCACCTCACATAGTTTTGGTTTACAGTGTTGTAAAGATGAACACCAAGCTCACAGAAAATTTAAAGCTTCCTTTTCTTTTGGGTGGCAGCAGTCTTCCGGTCAGGAGAACACATGCACAGCCAACCATTTTATTAAGGAGAGGTAGGTCCTGCGAGGATGTTGTGGTTTAACCCCAGCTGGCAACTAAGCACCACACAGCTGCTCATTCACTCTCCCCAGGTGGGATGGGGGAGAGAATCAGAAAAGTAAAAGTGAGATAACTGGTGGGTTGAGATAAAGACAGTTTAATAGGTAAAGCAAAAGCCACGCCCACAAGCAAAGCAGAACAAGGAATTCATTCACTGCTTCCCATTGGCAGGCAGGTGTTCAGCCATCTCCAGGAAAGCAGGGCTCCATCACACGGAACAGTTAGTTGGGAAGACAAACTCCTAATGTCGTCCCCCCCTGCCCTCAGCTTTATACGCTGAGCATGATGTCATATGGTCTGGAATATCCCTCTGGTCAGTTGGGGTCAGCTGTCCCAGCTGTGTCCCCTCCCAGTTTCTTGTGCACCCCCAGCCTCCTCACTGGTGGGGTGGGGTGAGAAGCTGAAAAGGCCTTTTATGCTGTGGAAGCACTGCTCAGCAGTAACAAAACCACCCCTGAATTATCAACACTGTTTTCAGCACAAAGCCAAACCATAGCCCCATACTCGCTACTATGAAGAAAATTAACTCTATCCCAGCCAAAACCAGCACAGAGGAGCAGGGAGTTGGATTCAATGATCCTTATGGATCCCTCCCAACTTGAAACATTCTATGATTCTATAAGAGCCAAAGTGAGTAATTTAAATTTGACTTAGTTGTCCAGGATTTTCTGAAAACCTTATCAAGGAAGTGATGAACTGTTGTTGTATGTGAAGAGGATGGTCATCCTTGGGATGTTTTACTGGTGCGCCGACTTCATTCATATGAAACCAGAGAGCATGATGTTTAGGTGAATGGGTTGGGAACCAGCAGCCATATCTGTGTTTGTTGTCAGCCTTTCCATCACTGAGTGGCCCCAATTCTTACTTTAGCTGGACCTCATCTGTACTACCATCTTTTTCTGATATTGGGTGTTTCTTTACTGATGAGCGAAGCAGCTGGACAAGGCTGCAGACCAGTAGGAGTGGCTTTGTTGACTGTGGTGTAGCCACTTGTCGTGGTTTAACCCCAGCCAGCAACTAAACACCACGCAGCCACTCATTCACTCCCCCCCCACCCAGTGGGATGGGGGAGAAAATCGGGAAAAGAAGTAAAACTTGTGGGTTGAGATAAGAACAGTTTAATAGAACAGAAGAAACTAATAATGATAATGATAACACTAATAAAAATGACAACAGCAATAATAAAAGGATTGGAATGTACAAATGATGTGCAGGGCAATTGCTCCCCCCCCGCCGACTGACCCCCAGCCAGTCCCCAAACGGCGATTCCCTGACCCCACTTCCCAGTTCCTATACTAGATGGGACGTCCCATGGTATGGAATACCCCTTTGGCCAGTTTGGGTCAGGTGCCCTGGCTGTGTCCTGTGCCAACTTCTTGTGCCCCTCCAGCCTTCTTGTTAGCTGGGCATGAGAAGCTGAGAAATCCTTGACTATAGTCTAAACACTACTGAGCAACAACTGAAAACATCAGTGTGTTATCAACATTCTTCACATACTGAACTCAAAACATAGCACCGCACCAGCTACTAGGAAGACCATTAACTCTATCGCAGCTGAAACCAGGACACCACTGTACTGCTGTCACAGCACAGGCTGTAGTGAATCATGCAGATATTCCAACTTGCTCCCAATTACCTTGGGTTTCTTTGCCCTGTGCTCCAAAGTGCAGTGTTGCTCTAGGTTTCTGGACGAGTGACTCCTGATGGAGCAAAGTGCATCAGCTAAAGAAATCCTTACTTAACGTTATTAATCTTTGCTAGCATTGATCATTACTTTGGAGACGGAGGGAGAAAGTGTTTTTTATTAAGCTATACTGGGAAAAAGTGCCACTTTATAGGTACTATCTGGATTCAGGCTTAGGGTGTTTTTCAGGTGTAAGGTTCCCCTAATTCTGACTTCATCTTACATTGATGCAGAGGTAGAATAACATCCCTGAGGCCACATCTCCTAAAATGTGAGGGGAAATAGGCTCATTATTATGTGGCTACGAGCATTTCAATGAGCATTACAATCCTGACATTTGTTATGAGTATAGGCTTTTAAGGAAGAAAAAATAATGGCGACAAAAACTACCTCTCAGAGTACATTTAGACTCAAACTGTGGCAGAGTCCTAGATATCTAAATAGATTTTAGGGAAATCTATGGCAGGGTTCATGATCTACAAGACAGACAGTGCTGCTGTGTTGTGTTTTGTTCTCTTTGGTTTCTTGGCAGTGCCCTCCTATCATGTAGTTCCTTTTGTGTGGTTCAGCACCACTCTGCTGCTGCCGCCTGATGCTGTTCCTTTATATCCATTTTGCCAGGGTGCAAAGGGCAATATGTTTGTATTGTACAATGAACCAAAATAAGAATTTGATGTGCCATAGATTATCAGAAAGCTTTTCTGTGTTTAAGTTTCTGAAGGAACTCAAGCATCCATTTCTTAAGTTCTGTCTAAAGCCTTGTTTCCCATTTCTGAAAGTAGGCAGGCAGATGCCAAGTGACCTGCCTGGCTGTGGTGTTTGTATTCATTAAGCTGACTCTTACTGGAAACATTAATAAATCATTCCTGTTGACTGCTATCTATACGTTACTAAGTTGCAGAACAACCACTTTACCTTAGAAAACAGATGCATTGCACACAAAGGTCTGATCATCCATTCAGCCCAAACAGGACTTTGTTAAGCTTAAAATGTTTCCAAGTCTCCTTCTCACAAAGAAACATTTGTAGCCGATATTGATCCAGTGATATTGAAGATCTCAAGGACACATAAAATGTCTCTGCCCAGACAATATAAAAAGAGGGCTAGGGTGAACAAAGTTTTAAAGAATGAATCATGAATAATCCTTAAGAGTCTCAGCAATATAGTCAATGATTTAATAGAGACTATTACCATTTCTAACTTCCACAATTGTAGATTTATTCTGATTTTTGACAGTCAATTTCTGGCTTTCTGTCTCTTTTGTTCTGACCAAAAGAACCACCACCTGAGAGCTAATGTTCAGGAATCAAAACATCAGTTTGCTAGTGCCTCCTTTATTTTTAAAAAGTTAAATTTTCCCCTTCAAATTTGTTTTGTTGTGGGGAGCTCAAACCAGCCTGTATGAATACAGTGTCTTAGACTGTGAGCTTGTGAAGGGCTCCAGTGACTGATTTGCTCAGTGCATGAAGCCAACACATCTGAGGGGGAGTGTTGCCAACAGCTTCCAGAAGGTCTGTGGAAAGAGAATTCTTAAAGGGATAGGATTAGGACCTGCCTCTGTGTGGGTTCACATAGGATGCATTCACACTGGCATTTTAGTTTGGATCAGGAGTGCACTTTTGACATGAATCTTCCAATGGTCTCTATTTTGCAGTGCCTTGGTTTTGGAGAACATGAACTGGATTCCTTCTGGATGAAATTAACTGAAAGATGTGCTCCAGGAGCGCACCAGGAGGGCACCACAGCCACAAATGGACCCTCAGTCCCTGGAATCATGCTAGAGGTAATCCAAAGTAAAGAGCACCTGAAATGCATTTTTTCTGGACCTCAGATCCTCAGCACCAACTGTTTCACTCTACACATCTCCTGTATTCCACAATACTTGCCAACAAAGACATAGTCACTGAGCAACATACTGACTTGGAATTCAGTGAAATTTTTTGGGTGGTGGGAACGGCTGAACTTTTTTTTAATTAACTCTTGCCCAATAAACATATAAATAACTATATACATAATCTTACTGTATCAACATAGAATTTGACTATCTGATCATAGGGTAAAATTCTTAGGGTACCTTCTTTTTATACATATAACCTCACATTATACAAATACACATATGTGCCTCTGGTTATTCAGGAGCACTGTTTATCAATGCAAATATTGGTAACAAATACTCTAGTCCAAGATGATAATGTAAGAAAATTCCTGGGTGCATTATTTTTAAAAGCTAAGGACAACTGTGTTCTATTTATTTATTAGCTTGTAATTATGTGACTAGAAAAAATGCACCATTTTAAAAACATGCACCTTCTTTTCAGGTATAAATTGGTGAGTTCATGTGAGTGTGTATTTACATTAGCAGAAAAATGTAGGTTACTGCTTGTGTTACAATACAGATTTTCCTTTTCACAGAGGAAAGAAATGTTATGACCTGGCCATGCTTACTTCTTGTTTGTGTTTCAGAGTTGAGTCTAACATAGTTGTCATCTGAAAGATGCTTTGCTGGTGTGTTCAGATCCTGACATCGCAGCCCATCCTGAGCTTAATGTTTGCTTTTGCTGGGTATCCTGTGTAGCCAACATGAATCTTTCCAGTATATTCACTAGGATTTAGATCAGGCCTATAATTCAGTAAACTTTCAAGTCTGTCAATAGTTAAAACAGTTCAGATGGAAATTCACCCAAATTCCTGTAATGCAAGGAATACAACAAAAACTTGCCTCAGGGGAAATATGTAAGTGGGAGGCATCAAGACACAGTTTGACAAGTGTGATAATCCAATAATATCAAAATACTCTGACTGGAATTCAGATGTTGGGTATGAGACATCACAAATAATGGAAGAAGTTAGCAGTAGTAGTAAACCAGAAGGCCATCAGTAAGATGGAAACTAAGAATTGATTTTACTAACAAAAGAGATAAAATCTCACGTGAAAGAACAGTGAAGGACTTGAGGCTAACTCTGGAATCTGTTATGTATGTAAAAAATAGAAATTTAGATCCCCCCAAAATTTGTCATGAGTACTAAGCAGCATGGAAGTTCAGCTTTCCAGAACTTTAAATACTGCAGGAGTTCTGCCATATCCTGCCCCCTAGCTAACAGTATAATTGGGCCTGTAAAACACAGTAAAAATGCATTGATTCCTGAAACCTCCTGATTATACATTGATGACTACGAAAGCAAAATGCAGGCTTCCTGTAATTTTAAATTTGAGTTTTAAAGTTTATCTCAGTAATTCTAGGTCAACCTGTAATCTAGGGGAAAAAAAAGAAAGGTTCAAAGCAGGAGTAGATCAAAGAATAACATTACAAATGTTGGTGATCAGTTTGTGAAATATGCTCATTTTTTCCAAATTAGAAATACGATATACATGTTGTTTTTATTCTTTATGAAAATTATTTCTGGAGATTTTGAGCCCTAAAGCCACAGTATAACATATTTTAGCAGTCCTCTTTTCAGCTGTAGTCAACATATTTCCCAGGGAACTGACAGACTATTGCACAAAGTAGAAAATGTTTTATTTCATTAAAAGAAAAGGAAAAAATTTTGTCATGCCAGAAAAACCTTAACATTAGAAAATACTTTCAGTAATGGAATCATTTACCTTTACGAATTCTGTTGTTACCCATCTTGTGAGATGGTTGGACAAGAAGGAATTTGAAGTGGAGTTAGTACTTCATTGGACTCAAAGGTTCTTGACAGGATTTCAGTTCCCTCAATTTCTCTATAGTAGTGGGGCAGGGCATGCAGCAGCATCATGTTTCATATTTGAGCTTCTAGGGGAAGATACAGGGATAAAATACCAAATCATCAAAGGTTTTGTTAGCGCATCTGGTTGCTAAAGGGGAAACATAGATGAGTTCTACCTAATTCTGGCAAGAGTTGACAGGAAACAATGGTTGCTTTTACTACTGCTGTTGGTTTTGTGTACCAGCTTACAAAATAAAACAAAAAGAGGCAGATTAAAGAGGTGTGATACTGTTGCTTAGTGTTACTGATGAACAGAAGCTAGAAATAAGTAGTGGGATGAGACAGTGTGGACTTGCACTCAGAAAGTCTCAGTTGTGAAAGTCTCACTTATTATGTTTAGATTCACTGTAAAGTTCCAGTCCCACTCTGAAAAGGATGATATTAAACCCATGATACTTTTAATAGAAAAGAATTCTTTCCTTAATTGCCATGATTTTTGTCTTTATACCTCTGTGCTGAGAGGAAATGCTTTAGTCCTCCTTCCACTCAAGCAAAGTTATGTTTCAACACTGGTTGATTAGCTCTGTGTGAGGAGAGGTGCTGTATTAGGTCAGCATAAACCCCTCTGCTCTCTAGAACGCCATGTGGGCATTTATATCTGAACAAGTTGCCTCTGTTCTGAGCTGCTCTGTTGTGCAAGAGAAAAGCACCAGGACTTGTACTTTCTACCCAGTGAAGCACTGGTTCACAGCATTGAGAGTCTCCTCTCAAAAAACACCAGGAACTTCTTAGATGAAGTATATGAAGAAGCACTACTGCTTCCTCCCCCATCCACCAGGAGCCAGCAGAGCATTCCCTTGTATCTGTGCCCTGCTTTTTCCAGGAGAATCCTTGGTTTTCCTGAGGAAGCCCTCAGGACCCCATTTCTCTATGACAAGCCCAGTAGGGGTGTGTAATAACATTTAGTAGAAACTCACAGATACAAAGGGAAGCACTGAATTCACTCTGCTCTCCAGAAGCTGTGACAAGGCTCCTTTTGACTAAAAACTAATGGCTCATCACATGAAGAAGGCTGAGAGGCCTTTGTTTTACCTCCTTACATCTTGAGTTGTACCTTGAAGCCACTTCTGCATTGCTCTACACTTAATAGTCTGCTAGCTTTTGGATATGGATCTTACAGTGGAAAGAGGAGTCTGTGGAGAGTCTCAAGGAGAAAGCAGCAATATATATTCATCTCACTGGTGCACGTTTGCTATCCTGACTTTGGCAAAGGTTTGACAAAAATTGTATTTTGATCAGGCCCTCTTCTTCTCAGGCATATGTCAGTGAAATGCAAAAGATTTTGCTTTGCCTTATTAACAAAGGAAACTAATTTGAAAATATTTGAAATATGTTATTCTTCTAGGATGTCTGGGGGTTTTTGCCGTATGTATTGTAAGAAAAGAAGCTGATGTAGCATGTTCCAGTGAAAAAAATTCAAATGAATTCTGTCATGCTGGCAGTTTCTAGTGTGTTGGGTGGTCTGCTATGGTATCTACATGAGCACTATGGGAATCTTATACTGATGACTCAGATTCAAGTACTACTGGCTCTGTCTTCAGAAGAAAATGTTAATAGGATACTGTGTAGGACAGAACTATGAACTAAGCCTACCTCCTTTTTCAGTGCAGTGTGCTGTGAGTATGCTTTACCTGGGTTCTGGTAGTATTTGACATCACAGCGAGAAGTTGTTGGGGATCTTTTAGAGTGATACACAGAATGAGGCAGCTGGTGATGCCAGCAGATGGTAACCTAGTGTGTGAGGGAGGAGGATGTTAGAGCACACTTGGGAGCTGGGATCCAAGACACAATAAGGTGATGTGCTGTTTCACCTCTCCTGAGTAAAGCAGTAAATATAGCCACAAGCCAAGCCAAAAGCTGGTTCATTACAGAAAATTTGACTGGGAAGAATTGAGTGAAGTCATGTAGGTGTCAGTTCAATTCTTGACAAATTGACTGAGCCTAGAACATTTTAAATAAGGCAGGCAGCACAGCAGCAGGACTTCTGTGAATTGCCACTTCTTATTCCCATTCTTGGAGATACCAATATTCTTTGCTTAGGTCTTGTGTGGGATTTTCACACCATCCTTTGAAACAGTTGGACCTGTCCACTGGTGGGGTTTGGATACTGGTTAGTTGGCTTGCTGAATGTTTCTGCCTTCCTGTGTTTGACAGACATGGTGATAGATTTTGATCTGTTTTACTTCTCTTTTCTCTCAATGTGGTTTTTGTTTGAGTTGAATTGGCATCAGAATAAATGGATGAGTTTGAAAAGAGTGGTTTTGTTCTGTTGTTTCTTTCACCAGACAGGGCAAAATTAGCTGGAGGTCCTACTTTTCTTGGAAAAGCAGTGTGAAAAAAGCTGGAAGCAAGTCTTTTGGCAAGTGATAATACATAACTAGCTTTTCTGAATACCTATTAAATGCACTGTTGTGTTATTATTATCCAGTAGAGACAGTAATTGGTTTATTATGATTTTGGACCACTGGTTTGTTTTTAACATGGATGGCTTGGCCATCACATTAAAGTGAACTACACTTTAATGTTTGTGCCATGTACAAGTGATATAGCTGTATCAGTAATTCCCAGAGTTCACAAGTTTAATATATTCTGAAAAAAAATATTTTCAGTGTTTCTTTTTCATGCTTCATCTTAGTCTAGAGCTGAATGTATGGAAAGGCTCAGCAGAATCTTTTCCTTCATTTCATTAATTACTCAGCTGTTGAAAAACTCTGTTATTTCCTTCCAAGAAATACTATGGAAGATTTGGAGTTGTGGTTTTAAGATACTATGGGAATGACCTGCCTTAGCTGTTATTATAGAGGGTGTGCTGACTGGAGGAAAAAAAGGCTTAGGACATCACTTCTACCCTCTAAATCTTAACACAGAAGAGGTCACCCCACATGTAAATCTATCAGTACCTAAGTTGGATGTATCTCTGCTGCCTGTATCTCCAGGTTAGCAAGTTTCTTTGGGAAACAACTAATTGGGAGGACTAAGGTCCCTGATACCTCTCTGTGTAGGTTCCTTACCAGGCTACCATGGCTGTTCTGTGCTGATGTGACAAAGGGGTCAGGGGAAGATGGATATCACAAAATCATGGAATCACGGAATGGTTGAGGTTGGAAGGGACCTCTAGGGGTCATCTAGTCCAACCCCCGCTCAGGCAAGACCACCTAAAGCAGGCTGCCTTGGACCATGTTTCCAAGGAAGGAGACTTCACAGCCTCTCTGGGCAACCTGTGCCAGTGTTCAGTCATCCTCACAGTCAAAAGTGCTTTCTTATGTTCAGGCAGACCCTCCTGTGTTTCAGTTGGTGCCCATTGCCTCTGGTCCTGTCACTGGGCACCACTGAAAAGAGCCCGACTTCATCTTCTTTGCACCCTCCCTTCAGATATTTGTGCACATTGGTGAGATCCCCTCTGAGCCTTTTCTTCTCTAGGCTGAACAGTTCCAACTCTCTCAGTCTTTCATCATATGAGAAATGTTCCAGACCCTTCATCATCTTAGTGGCGTTTCACTGGACTCTCTCCAGTAGCTCCATCTCTCCCTTGTACTGGGCAGCCCAGAACTGGACACAGCGCTCCAGGTGTGGCCTCACCAGTGCTGAGTAGAGGGGAAGGATCACTTCCCTCAACCTGCTGGCACACTCCTCCTCATGCAGTCCAGGCTACCATTGGTCTTCTTTATGGTGAGGGCACATGGTTGGCTCATGTCCAACTTGGTGTCCACCAGGAGCCCAGGTCCTTTTCTGCAAAGCTGCTTTCCAGCCAGTCAGCCCACAGCATGTACTGGTGCCTGGGATTGTTCCACGTGCAGAGCTTTGCACTTCCCTTTGTTGAACTGCATGAGGTTCCCACCAGACCAGCCTGTTGAGGTCCCTCTGGATGGCAGCACGATCCTCTGGGTGTATTAGCCACTCCTCCCAGTTTTGTGTCACCAACAAAGTTGCTGAGGGTACACTCATCAACCCCACCACCCAGATGCTAATGAAGATGTTAAACAGGACTAGACCCAGTATTGTCCCCTGGGGTACACCATTAGTCACTGGCCTCCAACTAGACTTTGTACCACTGATCACTACCCTCTGGGCCCAGCCATTCAGCCAGTTTTAAGTCTCCTCATCCGGACCATAATTCATCAGCTTCAGTATGAGGATTTTATGGGGAACAGTGTCAAAAGCATTACTGAAGTCAAGGTAGACAATAGCCATTGCTCTCTCCTTGTCTACCAAGTCAGTCATTTCATTGAGAATGTCATTGGGTCGGACAAGCATGACTTCCCCATGGTAAATCAATGCTGACTACTCCCAAATACCTTCTTGTCCTTCATGTGCCTGGAAGTGGCTTCCAGGATGAGTTGTTCCATCACCTTCCCAGGGATGGAGGTGAGGCTGACCAGCCTGTAGTTCCCTGGGTCCTCCTTCCTGCCCTTTTAGAAGATACAAATGGCATTTGCTTCCTTCCAGTCCTCAGACACCTCTCCCATTTGCCATGATTGTTCAGGGTTTAAAGTGGCTTTGAGATGTTACCAGCAAGCTCCTTCAGCACTTATCCCATCAGGGCCCATAGACTTGCGTATGTGTATTTTAAAGGCTTTTCAAAGACTGCTAGGTAAAACACTCCTGTGCTTTTGGTCCCACCTCGTGTCATGAAGAATATAGAGAATAAGCTTGTCACAACCAGTTCTACTTCTAAAATGCTGTGGAAGTCAGAAGGAAAAAGCATGATCATTTAAGAATTGTTCCCAGGCTATTCAGGAGGCTGTTGTGGTTTAACCCCAGCCAGCAACTAAGCACCACACAGCTGCTCATTCACTCTCCCCAGGTGGGATGGGGGAGAGAATCAGAAGAGTAAAAGTGAGAAAACTCATGGGCTGAGATAAAGACAGTTTAATAGGTAAAGCAAAAGCCACACCCACAAGCAAAGCAAAACAAGGAATATAATTCACCGCTTCCCATCAGCACGCAACTGTTCAGCCATCTCCAAGAAAGCAGGGCTCCATCACACGGAACAGTTAGCTGGGAAGACA